TTTTTTTTTTTTTTTTTTTTTTTTTTTTACTTACTTAACAATTAAACTCTATGAATTTATATTTCTGACAGCAATTCCCTAGTGAAAAAAAATGAGATTTTAGGCAGTTTTAAAAGTCTTAAGTTACAGGTGACCACTACTGCCCAGGGAGAAAAAAAATGAAAGGATTCCTTCAAGTTTTAGCACAATGAAACACTTCTATGACAATGTCTGGGATTCATTCATGTTAACATTAAGACACGTGAAATACTTCCGTTTCTACCCATTCAGTCTGTACAGTGGTGAAGAGTGAACTTTTAAAAGCTAAGCTGTGCAAACTAGCCAGCCTGTGTACATTAAATGAGGGAGGTCAGTCTGGTTCCTGGTGGGGCGGATCACAAAATGGTGCTAGCAGCACCAGCGACCAGCTCCGGCAAAATCCTGTATTGAAAAGCTACGGAGAAGAACGTCTCTCTCACCCACGACAGTCGTGATATGGGGAGACACCTCCTTTGCAGCTACCTGGAGCATGGCCAGAGCATGCTCTTCTCCTGCTAATCAGATGCGCTCTCTGCAGTACTACTGCACTAGCATACCTCTAACCTCATGCGTATTCATTAATTCACATCTATGAGCTTTAATTTGAAATTAATCTATTACAAATAAAAATATTCCGGTAATTTATTTCCAAGCTAAAACTACCCCTTCCCCATTTTGGCTCTCCCCCCGACTCCCCAAGCATTTCCTCCAGGCAACTACTGTAACACTCAGCCACTTTTAAAATCAACTAGTATTTAAGTGGTTTTGTAAAGATGTCTTTTAGCTCCATTTCTTCATTACAACTTCTAGAAACATTCCCATTTCAAAAAGGACACATTTTTCTTCACTTAGATTCATAAAACAGAAGCATTTCTTGAAAAATCCTTTGAAAGACAGTGTAAATGTATTACTCTAAAAATTATTCTGTTTACTAGAATGAAGAAAGTGTCATTGACCCTATGAAATAAGATACGAGTGGAGGCATACTTACATGACGCAGGATGTTTGAAAATACTTCATTAAGATGATCTATCAAGTCGGGGAGGGAGGGAGAGGGGGGAATCCAAGTACGAAAATAACAAAACTCCAGTTTTACGGCAATAGTCCTCACTAAATAGTTGTGAAGTGCCTCCAAAGTATTTAACATGTTTAACTGGTTAGATTCATGTGTCTTGCTTTAAATGTAATTCAAGAGGGCAAATCATGTTTTTAATTTAACAATGCATATTAGGTTACTTTAAGGTATGCAGAAGAGGCCTAAGGGAAGTAAGTTCTACATGACCCAACAAAAAAGCTGTGTGTTTGGCTGGAATAGCAAGCAATCAGTACAAAACTCCACCAGTGCCCGTTTCTTACATCTTGCAAAGACTTTGGTAGGAAGACAAACAAGGAATAACGAAGGGAGGTGAAAATTAGGAATTTTGAAAGCCATGGTCTTAAAGATATAACACACCACTCTTGTTCTGCAGAAAGCCTTTTGCTGTGTGCACAAGAAATATTTTCTATACGTTTAAAAATCTAGGACAAAGATAA